TCTCTGGTCCCTCTCTGGTCTCTCTCTCTGATCCCTTGTCTCTTTCTCCATAGTCCTTCTCTCTGGTCTCTCTCTGGTCTCTCTCTGGTCTCTCTTTGGTCTCTCTGGTCTCTCTCTCTGGTCTCTCTCTGGTCTCTCTCTCTGGTCTCTCTCTGGTCTCTCTCTGGTCTCTCCCTGGTCTCTCCCTGGTCTCTCTCTGGTCTCTCTCTGGTCTCTCTCTGGTGGATTGCACTCTCGCTTCTCAGCAAGAAGGTCCTGGGTTCGAATCACGGTCAGAACGGGGTCTTTCTGAGTGGAGTTTGCATGTTCTCCCCGTGCTTGCGTTGGTTTCCGCCTGGTACTCTAGTTTCCAAGCCGAGCATCAATATCTGGAGATGTTTTCCGGGCGCTGTTACTACGGCGACCACTGCTCCTGATGTAAGCCTTAGCGGCATCAGGATGGGTCAAATGCAGAGGAATTTCCCTACGGGGATCAATGAAGTGCACCTCTACCCTTTACCTCTGGTCTCTCAGGACAGACCAGGGGCAGACATCTTGGAGAGACCAGAGGCAGACATCTTGGAGAGGCCAGGGGCAGACATGTTGGAGAGACCAAGGGGAGGCATTTTGGAGAGACCAGGGGCAGACATCTTGGAGAGACCAGGGGCAGACATCTTGGAGAGACCAGGGGCAAACATCTTGGAGAGACCAGAGGCAGACATGTTGGAGAGACCAGGGGCAGACATCTTGGAGAGACCAGGGGCAGACATCTTGGAGAGACCAGGGGCAGACATCTTGGAGAGACCAGAGGCAGACATGTTGGAGAGACCAAGGGGAGGCATTTTGGAGAGACCAGGGGCAGACATCTTGGAGAGACCAGAGGCAGACATGTTGGAGAGACCAGGGACAGACATCTTGGAGAGACCAGGGGCAGACATCTTGGAGAGACCAGAGGCAGACATGTTGGAGAGACCAGAGGCAGACATGTTGGAGAGACCAGAGGCAGACATGTTGGAGACGAGAGACCAGAGGCAGACATGTTGGAGAGACCAGAGGCAGACATGTTGGAGAGACCAGAGGCAGACATGTTGGAGAGACCAGAGGCAGACATGTTGGAGAGACCAGAGGCAGACATGTTGGGTAGGCTTGGGTTGAACCTGGGCTGTGATGCTGAGGCCGCTGCTGTGTTGTTTCCGCTTCTATTCAAAATCATAATTATAAACTCTCTGTAATTACAGCAGTGGAATGCTGAGCTCAGACAGAGGCAGCTCCTCCACCCTTCCTGATCCTTCCTGATCCACTTTTCTAAAGTTAGGCACAATTATGGACTTTAAAAACAGGAACTCATAAAATCCATGTCTCTAGTTCCTGGCTCTTAAACAGAGTCACTAGTTTTCTCGTGCATGGTCTTAGTTCTAGTCTAGATATTGGTCTTGGTCATTGGTCCCTGGTATTGGTCTTGGTCCAGAGAGACCAGAGAGAGAATAAGACAGAGACCAGAGAAAGACCAGAAAGAAACCACAGAGAGACCATAGAAAGACCAGAAAGAAACCAGAGAGAGACAAAAGGGAGACAACAGAGAGAGAGAGACCCGCTAGAGACCAGAGAGAGACGAGAGACCGGAGACAAGAGAGAGAAACCAGAGAGAGACAAAAGGGAGACAACAGAGAGAGAGAGACCCGCTAGAGACCAGAGAGAGACGAGAGACCGGAGACAAGAGAGAGAAACCAGAGAGAGACCAAAGAGAGACCAGAGAGAGAGACGAATGAAGGCCTCTGATTGGTCAGTTATTAATGGCTCTATGAATACCAGGATCACAGAGAGAAATAAACCACAGATATAAGAACAAAATAGAGAGTGACACAAATGTTACTGAGATAGAGAGGTTTACTGTTATAAGTTACATCCCAACTTCCTCCATGAGCACTTTCCTATTAGGCCTCATTGAGATCACGGGTTACAGTCTATTGTGTTTTGTGGTCTCGTACCATGATTCAGCTTGTTAGAGGAGTGTTGTGTGACATTAGTGACCGGAGCAGCTGCACTGAAGAGGCCTCACCAGCGTCTGCTGCAGTGTCAGATGTCAGCTCTGCCTCAGGGGGGGTCTCTCTGGTCTCTATCTGTTCTTTGGTTACTCTGGTCTCTCTCTGGTCTCTCTCTAGTCTCTCTCTCTGTTATCTCTCTGGCCTCTCTCTCTGGTCTCTCTCTGGTCTCTCTCTCTGGTCTCTCTCTGGCCTCTCTCTGGTCTCTCTCTGGTCTCTCTCTCTGGTCTCTCTCTGGTCTCTCTCTCTGGTCTCTCTCTGGTCTCTCTCTGGTCTCTCTCTCTGTTATCTCTCTGGCCTCTCTCTCTGGTCTCTCTCTGGTCTCTCTCTCTGGTCTCTCTCTGGTCTCTCTCTCTGGTCTCTCTCTGGTCTCTCTCTGGTCTCTCTCTCTGTTATCTCTCTGGCCTCTCTCTCTGGTCTCTCTCTGGTCTCTCTCTCTGGTCTCTCTCTGGTCTCTCTCTGGTCTCTCTCTGGTCTCTCTCTCTGGTCTCTCTCTGGTCTCTCTCTGGTCTCTCTCTGGTCTCTCTCTAGTCTCTCTCTCTGGCCTCTCTCTGGTCTCCCTCTTCTCTCTGGTCTCTCTCTGGTCTCTCTCTGGTCTCTCTCTCTGGTCTCTCTCTGGCCTCTCTCTCTGGTCTCCCTCTTCTCTCTGGTCTCCCTCTTCTCTCTGGTCTCTCTCTGGTCTCTCTCTCTGGTCTCTCTCTGGTCTCTCTCTAGTCTCTCTCTCTGGCCTCTCTCTGGTCTCTCTCTGGGCTCTCTCTCTGGTCTCTCTCTGGTCTCTCTCTAGTCTCTCTCTCTCTGGCCTCTCTCTGGTCTCCCTCTTCTCTCTGGTCTCCCTCTTCTCTCTGGTCTCTCTCTGGTCTCTCTCTGGTCTCTCTCTGGCCTCTCTCTGGTCTCCCTCTTCTCTCTGGTCTCTCTCTGGGCTCTCTCTGGCCTCTCTCTGGTCTCCCTCTTCTCTCTGGTCTCTCTCTGGGCTCTCTCTCTGGTCTCTCTCTGGTCTCTCTCTAGTCGCTCTCTCTGGCCTCTCTCTGGTCTCCCTCTTCTCTCTGGTCTCCCTCTTCTCTCTGGTCTCTCTCTGGTCTCTCTCTGGTCTCTCTCTGGCCTCTCTCTGGTCTCCCTCTTCTCTCTGGTCTCTCTCTCTGGTCTATCTCTAGTCTCTCTTTGGTCTCCCTCTTCTCTCTGGTCTCTCTCTGAGGGGGCGTGGCCTCACAGTGGACGTGGCCTCAGCTGTGATAACATTTCAACAGAGGACCGTCACAAAGAAACAGGCAGAGCAGGTCAAACCATCTGCGTCAATACCAGAGGAAACGGAGCATTAGTTTAACAATGTCATGGTTGTGGTTTCTATAACGAGCAAATAGTGTCGATGATCTGTTTATGTTTCAGCAAAAATAACTTTGTCATAAACTCCCTGCACTTTTCACATGCATGGTCTCTGGTCTCTCTATGGTCTCGCTCTGGTCTCTGTGGTGACAGTTTTTGGAGTAATTACATAAAACCAGCCGCAGCAAATACACGGACGTCAAAGGCCTTTTATCAATGCAGAGACGCCCTTCTGACGCCATGCTGAGCTTTGTGAGGGCCCCCCTGCTGTCTGTCACACCCTTGTGTCTTCCGTGTCTTGCATCTGTATGACCTGCATTTAGACCATTGTCTGTCTGTTCGCACCTCGTTCCCAGACGGCGCCAAACGCTCCCCATGCGCCTCCTCACCGGTGGCCCCCTCCAATCTGTTGTGGGCGGGACTGTCTCTCGTGTGTGTCTTGTATACAGGAAACTTGGGGCTCTGCCCTCAGAGCTGGGACATGCTGCCTTTTGAGTGTATGTGTTGGCTCTCCGCACGTGCGTTAACAATAAACTTACGCTTTTGATCAGACAAAGGACCTTTGAGTTTTCTCCTTCATGGGGTGTATAATTCTATAACATCTCTCAATGGTCTTCAGTCTCTTTCTGGTACTGTATATAGTCGCTCTGGTCTTTGCTCTCTCCCTAGTCTCTCTCTTTTTTTTAATCTTTGGTTTCTAGTCCAACTCTGGTCTCGCTCTGGTATTTCTGGTCATTTATCCCTCCCGAGTCTCTCTGGTCTCTCTCTCTGGTCTCTCCCTCTGGTCTCTCTCTCTCAGGTCTCTCTCTAGGTCTCTCTCTGGTCTCTCTCTCTGGTCTCTCTCTAGCCTCTCTCTGTCTCCCTCCGGTCTCGCTCTGGTCTCTCTCTAGCCTCTCTTTGTCTCCCTCAGGTCTCGCTCTGGTCTCTCTCTAGCCTCTCTCTGGTCTCTCTCTCTGGTCCCTCTCTCTCTGGTCTCTCTCTCTGGTCTCTCTCTCCGGTCTCTCCCTAGGTCTCTCTCTTCTCTGTCTCAGGTCTCTCTGGTCTCTCTCTGGTCTCATTGGTTTTTCTGGTCTTTGGTCTCTCTCTTATTTCTTTTTGGTCCTAATCTCTCCCTGGTCTATCTCTCTTGTCTCTCTCTAGCCTCTCTCTGTCTCCCTCCGGTCTCGCTCTGGTCTCTCTCTAGCCTCTCTCTGTCTCCCTCCGGTCTCGCTCTGGTCTCTCTCTGCTCTCTCTCTGGTCTCTCTCTGGTCTCTCTCTAGCCTCTCTCTGTCTCCCTCCGGTCTCTCTCTGATCTCTCTCTCAGCTCTCTCTCTAGCCTCTCTCTGTCTCCCTCCCTCCGGTCTCGCTCTGGTCTCTGCTCTTCCCACACCTAACCCCAGTGTTTGCCCTGAAGCAGCTGGATCTAAAAATAACAGTATAAAAAAAGGTAAAAATAGTCTCCTCTTGGTTCTGAACGACATATTTGTCAATGTCTTGTCTGCAAAGCTGTCAATCTTCTCAATGGCTCTAAGAGGATTGTGATTGTGGCTCAGAACAGACACAGACACAGAGGGGAGGGGCGTGGGAGGGGTCAGACACACACACACACACACACACACACACACAGACACACACACACACACACGCACGCACACTCCCTCTCTCTGCACACACGCTCGG